GCGCCCCGCTCCCGGCCGCCGCCTCCATCCGCAGCGCCTGCAATGGATCCACGTGCGGCCTCCCCGCCAGCTGGGAGCCAACTCCTTCCGGGCCCAGCCGCGACACCCAATCAGGGAGCGAGGCGGCTGAGCCCGCGGCCAATCAGCGAAGCATCCTCCCGCCCGCTTTTGAAGCCGTGCAGCGGACTTCATGGATGAGGGCAAGCGTGTAGCCGCGGAGGGGCGGGGCCCTGACGGAAGGGAGAAGCCAAGCGGCGGCCATCTTGGGTGGGGGCCTTGGCCTGGCCCATCCACAGTCATGGGCAGGGGAGGGCTTGTTCTCTAGTGAAGTCACCAGCGCCCACGTGGCAGGAGGGACTCACCAGGGGGTTTCACTGCTTCCAGAGACACAAGGGACCATTGTGACCGACTAGCCCCGTGCTCCTCAGACTGGTGCGGGGAGCCTTTTGCACAGCGAGCCTGTGAGCTCCCCACCCCACTTATAGGCACTTTCTATTGTGCACCATTTGCACCATTACACGTGGCCTTTCACATGGTGTTAGGCCACAGAAAATTGGCTCTAGGGCGGTTATGCTAGGACAGACGAGAAGACTCCAGCAAAGGGTTCTGGGTCGTCCCTGAACAAAATTTGAGACAGGAGTTGAGCAAGGGCGTACTTCAAATGCCGGCCTAAGCTACAAAAAAACGAGATAAGCGAACAGCTGCATTTTTGTACTTGCTGAGCTGAACAGCTTGCTTAAGGAACTGATAAGAAAACTCCGTCTCCTCCTTGGCTGGTACTCGCCTTCTGTCTCAATAAGAAAGTTGCTGATGTATCAAGGCCACCTTGTCCAGTTGGCAAGGTGTGCACCCATGCTCGAAGTTTCCAACTAACAAAGAGGGGCGGGCGGGTTGCTTAAGCGAATAGTCTATGACACGACAGAACTGTCTCTGTAAACCTACTTGTTATAGAAATCGGGGGCTGGTTCTCGGAGAGACGGGCCGCTCTCTATTGTCGTGTGCACTCTTCAATAAAGAGCGATGCGATTAGACCTTGCTGGTGTTGCCTGTCTCTTTGCGGTCAGACAACGAAGTGAAGCCGTCTGGGTTCGAGTCCCCAACACATGGCAAACATCTGAGACTGACCCCTCCCCTTGTAAACACACTTTATTGTGCATCTTTCACACCATTACATAGGGGCCTGGTGACCTTTTGCACAGTGAGCCTCAGAGCTCAACCCCCCCCATACACACTTTATTGTGCATTGTTCACACCATTATACATGGTGCTGGTGGCCTTCTGCATGGCCAGTCTGACCTGAACCTTCCCTTGTAAACGCACTTTAATGTGCCAGTTCAGCTGATGTGGGTTTTGCCCACAAAAGCTGACGGTACATTTTGGTTAGTCTCCAAGGTAGCACAAAGCTACCCGTTTGTAGACAGACTAACACGGCTACCCGAGACGTTATTGTGCACCATTCACACCCTTACACATGGGATAGAGGCCTTGCGCATGTCTGAGCCTGACCCTCCTTTCACTAGCTTCAGGGGGTAGCCAAGTTAGTCTGTACAGGAAAAAAAGAACCAATGATCTGATAGCACTTTATAGACTAACAAAACATGTAGACAGTACCGTGAGTCAGAGCAGGGCTTGGAATGGGAGTTCTCAGCCCCCACTGCAGCCCCAGCCCCCACCCCCACATGTAGAAACCTCCCATCCTGAAGGGGCCCTGAGCTAGTCTGACCCTAAGGCAGCTCAGAGACAGGCCCAGCTGTAACCCCTAGTGCTGAACTTGTCCTCCCCCCCCAAAGTATTCCCATGGTTCACTATTCAAAACAGACCCCTTGGGTGCATCTAGACTGGCAAGATTTTGCACAAAAGCAGTTGCTTTTGTGCAAAAACTTGCCAGCTGTCTACATTAGCCGCTTGAATTTGCACGAGCAATGACTTTGTAATGTTCAAAATCAGTGCTTCTTGTGCAAATACTTTCATGCTCCTGCTCAGGAAAAAGCCCTCTTGTGCAAGAATACTTGGGCAAGAGGGCCAGTGTAGACAGGGAAGAATTGTTTTGCGCAAAAAAGCCCCGATGGCTAAAATGGTGATCGGGGCTTTCTTGCGCAAAATCGCGTCTAAACTGGCCACGGATGCTTTTGCGCAAATGCATCCTTGCCAATCTAGACGCTCTTTTGCGGAAATACTTTTAATGGAAAAACTTTTCCATTCAAAGTATTTCTGTAAAATCATGCCAGTCTAGACATAGCCCTCGGGTCGTGTGCGAGGTGCTAGGACTTCAGGCAGAGGCCTGCCGGATTGGGGCAGCTTGACTGGAAAGCCCCAGGATGGCAGGACACTACCTACAGCCAACACGTCACCTCTGTTCCTGTTTGGGCAGGGTCTCAAGAAATTAAAACACGGCTGTGGCCAGCTTACCCTCCAGCAACCCACATTACCCGCCCCCTCCCAATTTGGGTGCAGGCCCCTGCTAGCAACGAGGCAGGGCAGAGCGTAGGCCAGAGTTTAATCATGTTTTATGTAATGAGCTTAAAGAATTGTATGAGAATGGACGTCAACCAACTGTAACTCTGCCAGGTAGGCCCTTAATATTCATCGGGCAAACTGCTTGTGCCTGGATCTGGTGTCAAGACAGATCAGCAGGATCCCTGTGACTCAACATGAGCACTCTGTTGCTCTTAGGCGTAATTAGAATAGAGATTGCGCGATATAGAAAATGTAACCAATGAATTAAAAGTGTATACTAGGAGCTTTGTATTAGGAGTTAGGCTGATACAACTCCTAGGGGATGTGCTAGTAAGAGTTTGGAATTTAATCATTTAGAGAGAACTTGTAGGCCCAACAGTTCCAAAATCCAGACCATGGAAGGGGGGCAGGGCTGTAAGACTCAGAGGCATCAAGGTAGCATAAATTGGGTCCAATACAAAGCAGACCGATGGGAGGACATGAAAAACAAACAAACAAAAAATCCAAAGTCTGCTAGCACCTTAAAGACCAACAAAACACGTAGATGGCGGACAAGTGGACAGCCTTGGAACATTACGAAGTGCTGTTACAAACAAGACAGCCTTGAAATAGCACTGGGAGGGAGACCCCAACATACTGATGTCAGTGAAGAACTCCCAGATAAACAGATATTAAGCAGAACAGATGGTGATTAAGCACTGATGAAGCAAAACGCATAGACCTGCATGGACGGAAAGTCCTATCAAAGATGGAGCGTTTTGAACAAATCTCCGGGTGTCATGAAAATCGGAGCAGCCACCCAGACTGAGAAAAGGCCCCGATCCTCCCCCGCGCACGTAACCTGCCTGGCCAGTGAGTTAATGCGAACAAGACTGGTAACCCTAAGCAATGACAAGGTGTGGGGGCTTGTGTTTGAGGCAGAGACGGTTTCCTACTGTATTCTCAGTAAATGCTGCGTATTGCCTTCTCCCGAGAAAGATCCCCTGTGCTTCTTATAAGCATAAGAGGGGGGCTGTTTGCACAAGAATGTGGGGGGTTGTCAGAGCCCCCTCAGGCACGCTTCCAGACCTAGCACTGGGGCAGGCGCCCCTGCATGGCGGCATAGAACCCAAGCCAGAGTGATCTTTTCCCACCTCTGCGTCTCCCCACAGCCCTTCCACTCAGACCCTGACACGCCCCCCCCCATCTCTCCCTGCTGGAGTCACTGACTCCTAGCCCCCCACACAGAGCGAAGCAGCAGCTGTGAGAATAGCACTTTATTGCAGACAGGGGGGCAAATTCTACTTCTTCTTGGAGACTCCGACGGTTCTGCCCCGGCGCCCGGTCGTCTTGGTGTGCTGACCTCGCACACGCAGCCTGGAAAGAGAGGGGGTGAGATGGGACCAGACCCCAGCCTGTCCTGCCCCCCAACCACCACTCCCAGTTCCAGGCATGACTCCCCAGGCTATGGATCCGCCCCCCAGCTCCGCATCATCCCATAACCCACCCCCACAGCCCACTTGCAAAGTCTGTGCCCAGTTCCCGTCCCCTTATCCAACTCAGCAGCCTGCTCTACCGCCACCCTCTCCGTACCCCCAGAAGTGGCGCAGGCCCCGATGTGCCCGGATTTTCTTTAGCCGCTCCAGGTCCTCGCGCAGTTTGTTGTCCAGCCCATTGGCCAGAACCTGAGGGTGAGAGACGTGGGGGAGGGCAGGTGAGGAACAGCCAGACTGATCAGAGCCCAACTCCCCGCCTATGCCAGGGAGCAGCCCCGGCCGGCCAGAGCCAGGGGCCTGCAGGAGCAGCTTTGGGATAATCAACCCCTGAAGCATGATCACTGGAGAGCAGAGATGGGAGATCCCCGGCCGGTGTCAGCAGGAGCTAGTTCAGCCTGGATCATCAGCCCTGGATCGCCACTGAACTGACCCACAGCCGGGGCAGAGGAATCACGGGGACGTCTCCTCGCTCATGGACTGGGATACGCAGTGACTTGCGAGACTCCTAGCGCACCCAACCCAGCACACCCCAAGCCCCCCGCTGCCTGCGGAACCCCAGAGCAGCCCCTGCGGCTGGAACAAGCCCAGCCCCCCGCTCTCACCTGGCTGTATTTCCCGTCTTTGACGTCCTTCTGCCTGTTGAGGAACCAGTCGGGGATCTTGTACTGACGGGGGTTCTGCATGATGGTGATGACACGCTCCACCTGTGGGGGGCAGAGATGGGGTCACCCCGGAGCTACCCCACGGCTCTTCACCCCACCCAGCCTCCCTATCCCATTCCCTCCCAGATAGAGCTCAACCCCAGCCCCTCCATACCACTTTCACCCCGAAATGCCAGCTTCCCTTAGAGCCCCCTCACCTCGTCCTCCGTCAGCTCCCCAGCCCTCTTGGTCAGGTCAATGTCGGCTTTCCTCAGCACCACATGGGCGTAGCGCCGGCCCACGCCCTGGAAACGGGGGAGCGAAATGTTAGCATGGGCCAAGGGCAGGGGCCCAGCATCCCCCCCAAAGCAGCTCTGTCTCAGACGCCGAACAGAGCGGAAGCCCCACCAGCATGGGAGAAGCTGCCACAAGGGGGGACAGCACAGACCCGGTTTAACCCCCCCGAACCCCCAGCCTCGCCTGCACCCCACGCAAGGAGATGGCTTTGTTCCCCACGCAGTGTGGGGATCACCCATGTCTACGGCTGCTTTTGGCCCTGGCCCCCTTGTCCGTCTCAGCCGTGCAGCACCCTGCCTGCTCCGCCATGACGGGGCAGCCCCGGGCCCCCCAGCACCCT